CTATCGAGGTTAACAGGGAAAGGAAAGTGAGAAGACCACCTCATAAGGGGTCCCTCAGTCCATACTGGGCACATCTCTGGGAGAGCCAGGACCAGAGACAAAAGTCTCAGTCTCATGACCTAGTACCTTAGAATTAGACTTTAACACTTTCATTTTGCAAGTGAAAAAATGGATCCAGATGGATTTTCCCAAAGTGGCTGCTGGCAACTGAGACAGAACACAGACCCTGCTCTCTTGACTTCCACCTGGGTTTCCCACCACACTATCCTGCTCACTAATGGTAGGAAGCATGTGTTGTACCTATTAGCAAGCTAATGAGAGTCAGCCATTAATAATCCAGCAAAGACATTTTCAGGACATTACAGAAGGTGCTTTGGGGGAAAAAAAAAACCTATTAATTAAGCAATGTAAAAATAATCCTAGGACTTAGCTGTTACTCTTTTTTAAATAACAAAATATTTTTGGCAAGTAAACAATGTAGTTCATACTTCAGTAGAAGGAACGTAGCTGGGGTACAGGGCAGGCCAAGTTACACATATACAAATAAACAAGTGGTCAGCTATTTCTAAATGTACCTATCCTGTCCAATGATTAGGTGACCCAAATTCTGATCTTCTTAGAGGATGGAAATAGGTTATTTTTATTTTACAACCCACTGATTCCTTCTATATATAATACTGCATTTTTGAACAAAATTATATGAAGTTTATTCTCATCTAGGATAATATTTAAAGTTCTGTGGGAGCTGAATGAAATGACACACAGCCTTCTACAATTCCTTCAGTCCAAGGGTGTTGAGAGGGCCTACCGTTTTACAATGCGTAGGCATTTTCCAGGCCTACGGCACTCTATTTTGGCTTCATATTTTTTTTATACTTTTTATGAAATAATTCTAATACACAGAGTACAGAAATAACATATCAGACTTCATATGTTCACCACTGGCTCTATCAAAATCTAATATTATTTGCCATACTTTTCAGATTTTTTAAAAATAAAATATTACAGATACAATTGAAAGCTACTGGACACTCCTGTATGATATCGTTTATTTTCTTCTCTACTCCTTCTCCTCAGGTGATCACTATCTTGAATTTGGTATTCCAGTTTATATGGTATATGACAGTTCTCACTGCTGTCCAATCCTACAAACATTTGATATTGTTGGCTTAAACATTTTTGCCAATATGAAGAACATAAAGTGGAATCTCACTGATATTTTAATGGCCATTTCCACAATTACAAGTAAGAACACCTATCTATTGGCCCATCAGGTTTCGTCATCTGTAAACTACTAATTTGTATCTTTTGCCTGTTTTTCTGTTATTTGTCTTTTTCTAAATGATCTTTCAGTTATATATGTCATATTCTACTCTGTGTTTTCATTTTGTTTATGATTTCTTTTTTGAACAGAGTTTCAAATTTTAGTGTGGTCACATTTTTAAGTATTTTCTATTATGGCTGGGTATGGTGGCTTATGTCCATTATCCCAGCACTTGAGAGGCCAAGGCAGGAGGATCACTTGAGCCCAGGAGTTTGAGACCAGCCTGGGCAAAACAGCGAGACCTCATCTGTGCAAATAATAAAAATAGAATTAGTTGGGCATGGTAGGGGCAGGCCTATAGTCCCAACTTCTCAGGAGGCTGAGGCAGGAGAACTGCTTGAGCCTGAGAGGTCAGTGCTACAGCAAGCCATGATCACACTACTGCATTCCAGCCTGGGCAATATAGTGAGACCCTGCCTCAAGAAAAATTTCTATTATGTTTTGTGATTCTTATTTCTTTTTAAAGAAATTCTTCCTACCCCAACATTATATAGACAGCCTCTTATTTTCTCTTCTAAAAATTAAAAAAACATTGCTTTTCAAGTGCCGATCTTCATCTAGAACTTATTTTTGTGTATGGTACAGGTTAAGATTCTCCACATGGACCATCCATCATCCAAGAAACATTTATTGAATGCTTAACTCTTTCTTCACTGATTTATAATCCTTCCGTGATCAAGTATCAAGTTTCAGATTGATATAGGTTTATTTCTGGGCCCTCTACTCTATTTTGCTGTTCTATTTATCAATTTCTAAGCCAATACAATGTTGTTTTCATTTACTTTAAATCCATAATAAGTTGTAATATCTGGTAGAGTAGATTCCTCTACTTCATTCTTCAAAAGTGCCATAGAAAATCCTAGGCTATTGCTCTACCACACAAATTTTAGAATCAGCTTGTCAAGTTCCAGAGAAAGTCCAGTTGGGATTTTGAATGGAACTGAATAGAATTTTTAAATTAGTTCAGGATTTCAATTGCTCTAATGGGTTTTTGGACAATAAATATCTGGGCCAGAGCTTCCAGATAGCTGAAAACATGGAGGCTCCTGGAGAGTGGCATGCTCAGGAAAGGCATGGAAGCTCCATGCCCCTTTCCTCATACCTCGCTCTGTACATCTCTTCAATATAAATATATATATGTATTTAGTCATTATATATATATATATATAATGAATTAATAAATATCTGGTGGCTGAAAGATCAGTTAAAATGTCTTACCTCTCAAAGCAACAATTAACTTATAAACTGCCATGCCTCCCATTTATGGACTTAGAAATTCTATTACTTAACATACATTATAAAAACCAAAGCCAGGTGCCATTGCTCACATCTGTAATCCTGTAACTAGACAGCTTAACTTCAAAATGCATTTTAAAACATTTTTTTCCGTTCTCTTAGGTTTCAAGATGTAGGCTTGAAGCAAACCAAAGAAGCCTTTGCCCTTAGTCTTAAAATAGACTCCATGTCCCCCGCCTTTCTCACTGTCTCACTGTTATACTCCCTTCACGTTTATCTAAGTGCATGCTGGTATCTAATTATCTGCCTGCTTAGAAGTTCCAGGGGCTAAACTTGAATCTTCAGTCAGACAGACCAAGCCTGGAGACCCAGCTGCAAAATTCCAGAGATAACCTCAAGGTGGCCAGTCAACAACCCAGCCATTGTTGAGATGATGCCAGCCTGCTTCCACCAGGACTGGGACCCAAGACAGCCACCAGAACAAGAAACACAGACATTGTGCTCAGTATAATTTTTGCATATACTGTAGCCTGGGCAACAGAACAAGACCCTGTCTCTGAATTTAAAAAATGAATAAAATTTTTAAAGACTGAAAAAATGAAACGTTTTTATCCTTACACTTTATAGTTTAGCTGGGTAAATAAATGTTATAAACAAAAAAAGAAAAAAAATTAAAAAAAAAAAAAAAAACCTGAAAAAGAAAAAAAAAAAAAAAAAAAAAAACATTGGACCAATTAAAATCCTGAAGCAATTTATAAATTCTATTCAGTTCCATTCAAAATACCAACTGGACTTTCCCAGGAACTTGACAAGCTGATTCTAAAATTTGTAGGGCAGAGCAATAGCCTAGGATAGAATGAAGTAGAGGAATCTACTCTACCAGATATTATGACTTATTATGGATTTAAGGTAAATGAAAACAGCATTGTATTGGCTTACAAACTGATCAATAGAACAGCAAAACAGAGTAGAGGGCCCAGAAGTAAACCTATGTCAATCTGAAACTTGATATTTGATCTTGGAGGGATTATAAATCAGTGAAAAAAGAGTTTAGCATTCAATAAATGTTTCTTGGATGTTCTTTTTAAAACCTTGTCTTGCCCCTAAAATGCAAAGTAGTTGCATTGGATGGTAATCTAGACACTTTCCTATTACTAGTTTTGGCTAATAAAGTCACTTTCTTTCTACTAGACCTGGCTCTTGTTAAATGAACTCTGCATGTGGTGAGCAATCCAACTTGAGTTCAGTTACAATCCCTGCACTTTGAGAGGCTGAGGCAGGAAGGTCACTTAAGCCTAGGATTTTGAGACCAGCCTGGGCAACACAGTGAGACTCTGTTTCTTCAAAAAATTAAAAACTCAGCTGGGTGTGGTGGCACGTGTCTATAGTCCCAGCTACTTAGGAGGCTGAGGTGGGAGAGTTGCTTAAGCCTAGGAATTTGAGGCTGCAGTAAGCCATGAACACACCACTGCACTCTAGCCTGGGCAACAGAACAAGACTCTGTCTCTGAATTTAAAAAATAAATAAAATTTTAAAATATTTAAAAAAAATAAGAACAAAAATTTCTGGAACTCTCTGCACCCTTATTTCCATTCTACATATCTATCATAAGATAAGAATCTTAACTATGAAAAAAAATAGCTGGATGCATAAAATGCACATTGGAGCATTACTTACAGTAGGAAAAAATGAAAATAACCTAAATATCAATGACATAGGACTAGTTAATTAAATTAGAAGAAATATACCCAATGATACACTATGATAGTGAGAAAACTACTGGCTCTAAAAACAATTTATAGCAATAATGAAAATGGTTACTTATGAAATATTATTAAGTAATAAAATTAGGATATTGATTGTTAGTGCAATGTGAATACAACTGTAGAAAAAAACTCTGGAATGCATGCACATGAAAATAAAATGTACTAAACTGTTTACAATAGGGGAATATGGAATCACAAATAGAATTCTCTCACCTATCCCACCTGTTAAAAAAATCTATTGTCTAAAGGGGCTACTTTTCTATCATAACAAAATACATTGTTAAAAAAAATAACATTAATAAAGTGAGTAGGACCCAGCTGTGTCTTCAGGGTCTCATTTAAAGTTCAAGGAGACAGTGCTTGTCGGAAGCAAAGGATTCAAGGCTGACACTCAGGGTTTCGGAACTAGCTCAATCACTGATTGTTTTAGAAGTTTTGGGAAAGATTATCACCCATTTTCTCCATGAAAAATATAAAAATATTTAGATGTGTGNGAAACCTTTATGAATGGGCATTCCCTAAGACAACTGAAATTTCATCTAAATCATACAAAACACAAAGACTGCCTATCTCATTTTCTTTCAAGTATGAATGAGAGTAAAGAGCAGGGAGTTTGCCATTTGGAACTGGAAAAAAAAATGCCAACAGCATCGTTTTCAGAGTTTGTACTTTACCTTAAAAACATGAAAGGCTTCAAACTGGATGTTGGGACTTTTATCCCGAAGGAGGTTCATCATGAGTTTCAGGTTCTCCGGCTTGCTGATGTACTTTGTCATGATGGCAAAGTTGTGACGGTCCAGGATCAGCTCCCCTAGCAGCTACGGGGAAACACAAAACCAAAGCTATAATCTCAGAGCCACCTGCTTCAAAATATAGCTCACATCTTCTCACTGAAAAACGAAACACAAACATGAGTAAGAATGGTGTCATGAAAAAAATTAGGGCGTCCTTAAGTGCATCTCAAAGCACAGGCTTAAAAGCAGTAGTTATTCACACTGTTTTGCTGATGTCAGTGCTTAGTACCTTTTTTTAGTCAGTCTTTGCTGCAGCTCACCTAGAGCTAGGCAGAAATATTTATGATTTTCAATACTTACTTACTTTAATTATCTTGCTTCCTACTAATGTATTGCTCTGTAGGCATTCAGGTAGAAGGAATAACAAAACTGGCACCATAATGGTAGCTTCTTTACCTGAATAAATGTATGCTAGGAGTTCATTATTAAGTCAGTTTGTTAAATGACTCTTACATTTCCCGACTTTTATTATAAAATCTGATATAAAGCCAAGAAAAATACTTGACCCCAAATCTGTATCAAATTTAGTAAGTGCAGCAAGTTTTTATTAAAAAGCAAAGCAAAACATTTTTGGTGACAAATTAATAGTTCCCCAAATGCAGCATTATCCTAAAACAAAATAAAAATACCAAAAGTAAGAAAAGTTGAAGACCTTCTAGCAACATGGCTGAATGTACTGTTGCTCTATCTCAGAAACTTTTTTTTCTCACTGTAATTCTGGAGAACAGACTGACAGCCCCTGGTTGCTGTAGCAATTCCTAAAGCTTCAGCAGCCAGGGGGCTGAAACATACCATAACATAATTTTATAGAGAAGATAGATTTAGTTTTCAATTGTTCTATTTACTAGACTTTTTCTGAAGGCCTCAGGAGAATAAAACATTGTTACATGGTTACAAAAATCCTGGATGGGAAGAAAAGCACATCAAACTGAGGGCCAGCTGTCTGTCACAAAGGAGTCCCAGATGTGTACAAGTGTCTGGCTGCCAGTAAACCACCACATGGCCTGTGATGTATCTTTTGTCTATTTAACAAGTAAGAAGTGCACAACTTGAGGTTATTTTAGTACATGAAAATAAGGTTTGTTAAACCTGATAAAAGGATGACCACTGTTGGATGCTGGCTGGTGACTAGTTATTCTCATATACATGGAACAGCAACCATGTAGTCAAATTGTTAATCTGCATCCTCCTTAATCTTTCTGCAGCTTCTAAAACTAACCTAATACCTTTTGAAAACTTACTTTGCTCCTGATTTCTTACCTCGTGCAGATTGTTCCTTTGCTACCTCTTCCATGGCTCCCTTGCCTTTTGCACTACTTATGCAGTAATTTTCCAAGCTGTTTACATGGAACTGCTGTCTTTCATCTCCCAACAGTCTCATCTATACCCATGGGTTCAACTGTAACATCTAGGAAGAAGTCTCCCAAATCTACATTTCTAGTCTTAGCTTCTTTCCTAAACTCTAGACTCACATTTCTAACTGCCCACTGGGGAGGCCCACTTGAACACTGCTGGTCCTTCACACTTCACATCTCTAAAACCAACTCCCTTTCTTCTCTTTGCTAATGGCATCAGGAACTGCCCTCCTTCAGCTGAAAAGAGAGTTGAAGTCTTCCTTAGCATCTTTCTTTTCTTTACTCCTCACATCAAATCTCCATCCAATATCTACCAATTTTCGGTTTTTAAGTGTTTTTTGAACACCTTTCATTCAATGTTCACAGCCAGTAATCTCTTTCAAACCCTCACTACCTTTCAGCTGACCTACTGCCACAGCATGCAAAATGGTTTCTCCTTCAGTCTTCACCTAATCCAACCCATTCTGCACATTTTGTCAGAGAAATCTTCCCCAAAATCAGCTTTATTTGTTACCAATTCCACTTAGAAAGTGAATGCTTGAAGCAGCAAATTCCTAGATTCCCATAGATTTAGAAAAAAGGTAACCTCATTAAGATGGCATTCCCAGCCTCTGTGATGCGGAATCATTTCTCCTGCTTCCTGGCCTTGGCTCCCTTTCTCCATCTTCCTCAATCTCCTGTCTCTGTGGCTTTACCTCCCCAGCTCCAAAATCTTCCCCACTTTCACCTCTTCTCTGCCTGTTCAAACCTGGACAGAACTAGCTCAGAACTAGCTCTGATGTCATCTTTGGGAAAGCCTTTCCTCTTCTCTACAGTTGACTTTGCTTTGCCTTGCAGTACAGTTATTTGTGAGACTCCATAGGGGCTTATTCTCTAAACAGTCTCAAATCCCCTTACAACCTAACTGTGTGATGTGCATAGGTATTGCTGGGAAAATAAAAGTCCTACCCACATATCCAGAGCACAATACAGTTACTAATCTCTGAAAAAGAGACTGCATAACAGACAAAACTCTGCCTTATTACAGCCACACAGCTACAATCCATTACATACATACATCCTCAAGATGCAGGGTAACCTGTCCACTAGAAGAGGACCTGACTACCATTTCTGTGCACTCTTTCATAGTTTGCCCTAATTCACCTAGCAATTGAGGTGACCATTTGTTTTAGCTATTTATCTGAATAATAAAACTTTCCTTATCTCTCTGACAAGCAAATAGTTGCAGCTTGGAAAAGGGCACATAGGTTAAACTCTCCTGGTGACAGGGAGATAGTATCATCTTCCTAGATGCTTATATTTCAAAAGCATGGCTTCCAGACCTTCCAAAAAGAAAAAACAAAAATTACAAGACTTCCAGGTTGTAAAGCTGTCAAGAGGCTTACTTATCTTCTAAAGATATATACAGAAAAAATAAAATACTGAATAGACATATACACATGTTAAAAGGCTTCAGCAAAAAGAAAATTTCATTTTTGAAAATTTACACACATATATTCAATAAACATTTGTTGAAGGTATATTTATGAGTTAAGTTTAGACTAGTTCACTTCAACTTTTATTACCTGGGGATTCCTATATATAAATTCTATCCAATCTATCCTCTGCTAATAGAATTTCATAATTTTTCTGAAACAATTGTGCTAATTCAACACTAAATTTTTTAGCCATTAAATGTTAGTCTATTTTAATATTGACAATGACAAAATACTACATTCCAGAATAATACAAAGTACTATAAAGCAATACTGTACTAAGTAAATGAAAAACACACATATTTTACTTCATTAAATTTCTTATTTTGTATGCCTTATAGTACATAGTTAAGCCATGCAGCAAGTGGAAATAAGTTTTTTAGAATCTTAAGTGTTTTAATGAAATTGACCAGAGCCCAAAAAAGTCCCCAGTTTTCACCAAGCTTCTTTTGAATTATAATCCTTCTTGCTGGTAATTAAATGCCAGCCCTCTCTGCAGAAGATAAGAAAGAAATTCCTAAGCTCTGTCACATGATGGAAAGGAATTTCTCTGTTAATTATTTTTTTATTGACACCAGGAATTAAGCATCCCAAGACAGTGCAGGCAAATTTAGAATATGATTAAAAAAGGCAGCAGGCAGCAACTTCTTTGGAATCAGAAAATGGCCTAGTACTTAAGACAGCTTATTACTTACAAAGTCACTATATAATAATCTAACCTCTCTTGTTTCCTGCAATTATGAAACATCTATGTAAAACATTACAGAATCCATTTATATATAAGCACAGTTGTGTCAAAATAGAATATACTGCTATCACAGATCTAATTCCCAAAAGGAAAAGCCAAAATTGCCTCAGTGGAGCTTCCAGAATGTTTTTCTAGTTAAAAAAAAAAAAAGCAAACAATATTTTTTTAATGAGTAAACAATCGTAATTTACGACCTTGATGTTTACATATGAACTTATTTCATGTCTACCTTTTGTTTGCTTGAACAAAGTGATGCAAAACCATTTTAGCAACATCTCTTCCTACAATCTAACATTTTTAAAAAGCCATCTCTCCAGTAACAATTATTTTAATACTTTCTGCATTCTTAGGTAATTTGTCTACATTTTTTAAGTGTCCCATCAGTGCTTGGTTTTACTATGCTATAAATCAGACATCCATGAGACACCTAACTGTAAAGATTTTAGGCAGGAATCACAGCCAAATTGTATATCTGGGCGAATTAATGAAAACCAGGAAAGATGTCTCGCGAGTAGGCTAGGGCATTTGTAATAAGTAGGAAAGATAAACAGCTTTCTTCCTCCTAATTTGGCTCAATCACCTTAGTTCATGCAAATCTCTCAATTTTGATCCAGTATCTGACAGACTCCCACTGAAAAACAGGAAGGATTTGGAGAATTTTTGAGCAACTTCCTATATGCTGGCCCTTCAGAGCATCGTCACCTCTGTTTACTACTCCAATTGCCATCTTCCTTTCAGGGCCACTACTCGTTTTACCACGGACAAGATTACTTCATTGTGGCTATCCTTGTGGAGCCCTACAAATAAAGAATTCTATTCTTTACGTATACAGCTGTATAAACAGGATACGTCCATATCTTCATCTGCTCTTAGCAAGCTTTCTGGATATGGGAGAACACAGCACAGAGGTCACTGTCTCTGCCCAAAGGTCAGTTCCACACATAGTTTGGTCTCATCACTACTGGCTCCAGCCCAGGCAGGAGCATATCTGTGGACTTCTTTTCTAGATAGGCCTCCTGGTATGAGTTTCTACACAAAGGGGAAACTCAATAAAAAGTGATGGATGGATGGCTAAAAAATGGCCTTCCCATTAATACCCAGTGAGGGCACAAATCCAAAAGAAACCAGGTCATGGCTGACACAGGATTGTGGGCAAAGTAAATTGACAAAAATGTGATACAAAACAGACTGACTTTATTAGCTAAGCTTAAAATTAGAACCCAAATTTAGAAGCAAACACATTGTTCTATGAATGCCATCATCTTGGCATGTAAAAATAATACAAGTGTATGCCACTATATCCAAATCTAGAAAAAAAAGGAAAAAATAATAATACAAGTGTGACATTCAGCAAGCTGGACCATCACACCAGTTGCCACACTAAAAATAGTTTTATCATCTGCTGAAAACATTGTTTTTGTGGGATTCTGAGTGGGCTCTGCAGGGCAGAGATGCAGCGCTCGTCCACATCTCCCTCCCCTCAGGGGCTCTCCCACCTCCCATAGGCCACATGGCTGCTTCCAGACACCTTTCCACTGAGGGAGGGAGGGCCACTCATGGATGGCTGTGGTCTTACTCTTTCATTTTCACAGTCAGTTAATGGATGCATAACCTCAAGTAGCAGATGTAATTTGGTTACACACACACACACCCACCCCACCCACACACACACTCTTTTCAGAGTCATCTTAATTTTTCACAAATTTAGCCTTCTGTTCAAAGATCAACTTATCAAAGAGATTTCACTGATAGTCTAGCTACTCTGGTACACACCTCCCCACCATTCTCCAAGTCACTGCTTTCTGCCTCCTTTCCCTACTTTTCTTTTTAGTACTTAAAATCATCTGAAAATTATGTATTTATTTGTCTTATTGTCTGTTTTCCACCAATAGAATGTGAGGTCCAAAGCTGTTCTTAGCTGTCATCATATATCTGGAGAATAAGCACATAAATATTTGTTGACTAAATGGAATGTCTTATTACCTCCCTCACATGTCCTTCTCCAATAATTCATCAAACTATGCTATTTATGGGTAATTGAGAATTGACTTTATTTTTGTTTCCAGCTAGCTGCATTGTCTTTTAATCTCTTGCCAGATTCTGTTTCAGTGTAATCCTGGCAGTAATTTAGAAAAGCATAGTTTTATATATGGGATCATGTATCTGTTTGTTAGCTGATTTTTAAAAAACATTTCTCTTCATTCTTTTTTCTTTTCAAATTGCTGTTTAATTTTTTTCTTTTTTTTTTCTCTTCTAATTCTTAAGGAATAATCATGTTTCATGTTTCTATCTTTTCTGTAAATATAATGTGAACAGGTCATGTTAGGTGGTGGAAGTATTTTAATCAACCTAGGTTGTTTAAAACACCTAGGTCAGAAAACACTGACTGACCTAAATGCTCAGGGAATGGGACCTGGCGATGAAATGTAGTATACAAAATTATTGAAGAAAATGTGTTACAAATCTGGGAGATAAACGCCTCCCATAAAACAGAAGCCCATAACACTTCAACTATCTAATTTGATAGTAAAAAGTTATTTTATACTCAAAAATAAAGATATTAAGAATTTATTGGCCAGGCGCAGTGGCTCACACCTGTAATTCCAGCACTTTGGTGGCAGAGGTGGGAGGATCATGAGGTCAAGAGATTGAGACTCTCATGGACATCTCATTGAGATCATGGACAACATGGTGAAACCCCGTCTCTACTAAAAATACAAAACTTATCTGGATGTAGTGGCGTGTGCCTGTGGTTCCAGCTACTCAGGAGGCTGAGGCAGGAGAATAGCTTGAACCCAGGAGGCAGAGGTTGCAGTGAGTGGAGATCAATTTATTTATCAATTGATAAATAAACAAGAATTTATCAATTGCTATGCTTAAAACTTAGAGAGAAAGTTTAATTTTTGCATTTTATACGTTTTTCTTTTTTTTTTTTTTTGAGACAGATTTTGCTCTTGTTGCTTAGGCTAGAAAGCAATGGTGCAATCTCAGCTCACTGCAACTTCCACCCCCTGGGTTCAAGTGATTCTCCTGCCTCTGCCTCCTGAGTAGCTGGGATTACAGGTGCCTGCCACCATGTCCAGCTAATTTTTATATTTTTGGTAGAGATGAGGTTTTGCCATGTTGGCCAGGCTGGTCTCAAGCTCCTGACCTCAGGTGATCTGCCTGCCTCAACCTCCCAAAGTAAGTGATCTGCCTGTCTCAGTCAAACAGGCGTGAGCCAAGATGCCTGGCCTCAGCAGAAATATTCTAAATTTTACTTATCATGTACTTGTGTATATTGTTACTTCCAAAGGTAAGACAGGACACTTATATTATTTTGCTATAAAATATCGTCATAACATAAAACATAGTAAATACCTCTCAAGTTATAAAAAAAGATATTTTAATTTTTCTGTGTTTACTCAAATGCTAACAGACCCATCATTTGCTAATGAGATATCAACTTACAGGGACACTGACTTAAAGGAATTTGATATTACCTTTAAAGATTGTCTCTTAGTCACATAATTCTCAGACTGAAGCAATTTCTCATAGTCTTCAAAAATCTAATGAAACGAAAAATACATTAGAGTGTAAAAGCAGCAGTGCATTCTCTGTATTAGGCTTGCTTGCTCTCTTATTCAGGAGCAAATTCCCACCTTCTAGCCATTTTACCATCCTCCTTTAAGGTGAAGACATGGGGACAGTGAGTTCAAGAGTTACAAGAGACATCCTCCCCTATTTTATTTTAGTTCTGCAAATTAGAAATTGAGTAGAAAAACTGAGTAATTTTGAGTTCTTCCAATAAATCACTTTGAATAAAACTAGTAAAAGTTGCAAGAGAACTCATTTTGTGCCATTTTAAAGAAATCTTTATGGAAGCAGCCTTGTTGGTGGCTATGGGTCCACAATCTGGGAAAATATTAAATACATTTAAGGCTTCACTTGGCAAGCCATAAAAAGTCAGACTGTCCAATTCACTGCATGAACAGCTGAAGAACAAGGCAACCTTTGCTGCACGACAGGCACGTTAAGCCCAACTGGTTTCTCCGGAGCACTTCACTCTCATCGGAAGCTGGGGACACTGGCGCGTGGAGTCCTGTTTCCTAACGTGGTCACCAACCATGGCCTAGGCCCCTCAGTTTAAGACAGAGTGCTGGCCTCTTGGGAGGCTCAGCATTCGCTTCCACCATGTGTGGGCACACAGCTCAGAGAGCACTGAAGTGGAAGGAACAACCGCAGCCAGGATGGAGGGCAAGAGATCAGGAACTGAATGAAGAGGGTGACAAACTCCTGGCCCTCGGAGAGTCAATTGCGAGGGGAGTGTGTGTGCAGCTGTGTAATGAGGGCAAACTGTGCCCATTGACAATCACCAAAAGAGAATTAATTGAAGTGAAAAGTAAAAATATAAAGGTGTAGCTCACATTAAAATCACAGTAGTTATGCTCTTTTATATGAATGACTTATTTATTTTATCCTGAAACACAAGGAGAATTTTATGGATCATTAAATGCATCAGACAAGTCTTGTGATAAATTTGAATAGTAACTATAAAATGTAAATACATGTATATGGTATGATCTGTCCCCAGGCTACCAGGTTTATTACTTTAGAGTCATGCATCATGTGCTCCAGTTTCATGGTATACTGCTGAAGAAATAAAAACTAGGCCTTTGGGAGGCTGAGGCGGGCAGGTCACAAGGTCAGGAGTTCAAGACCAGCCTGGCCAACATGGTGAAACCCCGTCTCTACTAAAAACACAAAAATTAGCCAGGCATGGTGGTGGATGTGTATAGTCACAGCTACTTGGGAGGCCGAGGCAGGAGAATCACTTGAACCCTGGAAGGAGAAGTTGCAATGAGCCGAGATCGCACCACTGCACTCCAGCCTGGGCAACAGAGCGAGACTCTGTCACAAAAAAAAGAAAGAAAAAAAAAGAAAAGAAAAGAAAGGAAAGAAGGAAAAGAATTTGAAGAGGCACAAGTTTTCAGAGCTCGTATTCAGGCCAGTGCAGGGGCCTCAGCAACTGGGAAATTGCTAAATTACACAAGAAGTGACATATGGATATAAAAACAAAATTAGGTAAATAAGGAGTCAAAAACAATGAATTTCTTAGTCTCTCAAGTTGCTGTGCATTATCCATAAATGCAAAGCATTATTGCACAACACATTTACCTCATTCATTCTATAGGAGAGATTAGTAATTAGTTAATACTGTAGATTTTTCCATGTTATCTTAGCCTTTTAAAATTTTCGTTTCTTATAAATGTGATATCTAATGCATCTTTCCTTAACATTCCATCTAGCACACAGAGTTACTGAACAACCAAGCTATATATTAACAGTTTGTTTCCAAAATTCAAAAATATACAATTTTCTTTCAGTCTTTATGTTTTGGGATTCCTCTGGCAATAAAAATTATTCTCCTTGCAGTAGAATGAGTTTATCAGAGGCCGAGGAAGGTAGGAGGGAGGGGACAAGAAGAGAGGTTGGTTGACAGGTATAAAAATACAGTTAGAAGAAATAAGTTTTAGCATTCAACAGCACAGTAGGGTGACTATAGTTAATAATTTACTGTATATTTCAAAATAGCTAGAAGAGAAGATTTGGAAAGTTCCCAACACAAAGAAACAATAAATATTTGAGGCAATAGGCATCCTGATCACTTGATGTTATCATTACAAATTGTATGCATATATCAACATATCCAGTGTACTCCATCAACACGTATAATTATTATGTATCAATTTAAAAAATCATTCTTCCCTCACATTTTACATTTAAATACTCTAGTTGATTCTATGGATTAAAAAAAATAGCCTGAGGACATAAAAATCACTTTTGATTTTATTATATTGCTAATACTTAATCTTAAATTGAAGGACAACTGGAAAAATAAAATTTATTTTATTTATAATTAAAAGAGAAATAGTTAAATTTTTGTGATTTGGATTGTGAAGATATACTACTGATAGGTAGAGTAGGCCATACCTTCCCAGCATTTGGGAGTACGTTGCAAGTTTGTCTAGGGTATACATGGTTCAGAGACTCCTTGAGGACTATTATTAATACTTGTTGGCTATCACTGGTCCATATGCCTATTATGTGCCCAACTATACTGCATACTGTTGGGAAGGCACAAAGTCATAGTTATCATCAAAAATATATTTCTCTTTGTAAGTACATATAATTTAATTCAATACTAAAGATTTCAATCAATAAAAACACTTTATCTTAATTTACTTATTACTACCATAAATATCATATACACATCAAATTGTTTTTTGCTTTTAATAGACGAAGCCAAAAAAATCCACTCATCATACCATATACACACACATATATATATATATATATATATATATATATATGTATACATACAAACATTTAGAACTTCATGGTTTGGGCATCAATAATATAAACTAAACAGTTAAATGCTCCTTTAAGACAGTAGCTAACCAGATAACATTGCTGCTGTTATGTGTCAGGCACTAGACTGGGTGATGGGGATACAGTAGCAATGTTAACTAACACATGTAAAAATGCCAAAAATCCCAGCAAAAAATAACTCTGGCTTTTGCTAGCATGAGGATCAGAGAGTCCCTCTTCCCTAAGTCCTAGTTTAGATGCATGCTCTCCAACATAGGGCCATATGTGGCTGCTGAGCACTTGAAATGTGGCTAGTCCAAACTGAGATGTCCTCTAAGTGTCAAATACACATCAGATCTCAAAGACTCAGTATGAAAAAACGATGTAAAATAGCTCGACCATTTTTCACTTCATCTTAGCCAAAAGACCGAGAGGCGATTATCATTTTCCATATTGATTGCACATTAAAATAACATTTTTGATATATTGGGTTAAATAAATATATATTATTAAAATTAATTTTACCTGTTTCTTTTTACCTTTTTGTGTGGCTAACTAGAAAATTTTAAGTTACACAGTGGCTCTCATTTCTGGCTTACACTATATTTCTATTGGACAGCACTGAGCTAGAGCATCTGAACCAACACTAGAACAAAACTTGTGAAGATTTGCTTCTAGGTTTGTGCTATATTATACTTTAATCATCCTGTTTCTATTACTTATACATTTAGTAAAAGCGTAGTTAGTTGCTCTTCGATGGCACTGTCACCACCAAATGTATGACACTGAACTAGGTGTTAGGAAAACAAGTAATAATGATAAACACTAATACTGAGTACTTACTGTGGTACTGTGCTAAAAATTTTAAATCTTGTCAAATTCCCTCCACAACACTGTGATGCAGGTATTATTGCTATCTTCATTTTGCAGTAGTAACTTGCCCAGGGCTGCACAGTTAGTAAGGAGGCAGGTCTTGAAGGCAAGCAAGCATGCAGACTCTAAAGTCCACACTGTGCTCTAAACCCTGTGTCCAGCAGATAAGATTCCTGCCTCTTAGGGCCAGCCAGAAAGATACAGACACACCGTAATAATACAATGTAAAAAATAAGAAGAAGCCAGAGAGAGAGAGAGGAAAGACAGAAGGGGAGAGGAGGGAGAGAGGGAGGGGGAGAGAGAGGAGAGAGAGAGAGAGAGAGCGTGAGAGAGAGAGAGACATGGCGGGGCGGGGGGGCGGTGGCGGTGGGGGAAGGAGGTAGGATGCATGTTTTGGGATGGGTGGGATTAGGGAAAGCTTCCTAAAAAGTGACATTTCAACAAAATCTCAAAAAGGTGAGTTGGATTCACTGCTTATTGTCAGGGAAGAGAGTTGTAAGATAAAAATATTTTTCGTATTTTTGCTACTAAGTAAGAGTAATTATCAACCAAGTAGACAGTAAACGTGGATTCTCTTCCTTTGGAGTTACCTACTGCCTCCTAAGAGCAATATCAAAGCAGGCAAGTGCTAGTCATTTCTTGAAGCTTCAGAGCACCACAGGAAGAGATGTGAAAAAGGTGAAAGCTCTGACCTCCCGCCATCCTTAATTTTCCATAAAATTTCCTGATGACATGGTTTCCAGGTAAACAGACAAATCAGGAGTATGGCTGAATACGATTGATTTCTCTTGTGGATAATTCATAGGGGCAAGTGCTCATAGATCTAAGAAGGAGGGAAAGAGAAAGCAGTAAAGTCTTTAAAAATGATTTCTACTTACCGTGTCATAATTTTGTTCTAAGAAGTCTGCTACCAACACTTTATGTCTGGTTAGTAAATCCTAGAAAAAGAAAAACCAAGTGAAACAAAATTGTTACAGCTATTAATATTTTAAATGTCTCTTTTCTAAGGTTTAAGAATATATAGAAGTTGCAGAAGAACATTTTCATTTACACCACAAAATTATTTCCATTCCTACCTTAGCTTAAGATGTGAAATACAAGTTTGTTTCATGTTAGAAAAGAAAATCCTAGTATTAAACCTAGCGTTTCAAATCCATATTGTTAGATTTATGATAGAAATTATTTAACTGGTAAAACAAATGGAACTTGAGATGAGTTCATATTTCTTTAAGCCATGAACTCTACATTGTGATTATGATATCATAAATATTCAAATAAAGTATATGATGATTGTTTTCAAAGGTCACTAATAACTAATCTTTTAAAAAATGAACTCTGAATGGCCTAAAACAATATCTCACAAGATAACACGTTTTTAAAGAATTTAAACCTTTTGTTTTTTTCTTAACCACTTTAAAAATGAAGGCACTTCAGATACTGGAAGCATAGGACTGCCATTTAGCAGTGTCAAACCAGTATTGTCCCTGCTCTTGGGTTAATGAGGTGTGAGGTGTTGTGCAAGTTACCAAGTAGCACAATGCATCCTTTCAAAGTTGAAGATGAGTAGCTCTATCTTATGGCAGATATAAACTTGCAGGAAACTGAACAAAAGCATGAAAAAACATTTGACTGTCTTCAACTCATACCTAAATTATATCCTTAATTCACCTTAACGTTGTAGGAAAACGAACAACACTTAATCCCTTTGAAATGCTTAGAGGCTAAATACCCTGTTTAGGTGCCATAAAAAATTTAATTAAAAACATAATAAGAATTTTGAAATTTTCCAAAATAAATTCTTATTCTTTAATACATATTTAATTAAAATTTCTGAAAAGTATGTAAAAGATACAGAACAACTCACAAAGAAAAGGCAGATAGCAACAGATACCCACTCATTTCTACTTTAATTTTTAGAAAAGTAAAATATTTAAAGCATTGTATACTATAATTTTCAAGCTCAAAAACAATTAAGAGTGGCTCTTAGTTCCCTATTGCTTGTTATCACACAACTTGATCAACTACTGGGCCTATCAGTGGAAACATGGTAGTGTCTTGTTTTGTTTTGCTTTGTTTTGAGTTGGAGCAGAGCACTCAGTACTGTTCTGGAACTGGAGTTCTAAAATGGGAAAACCATTTACAGGGGTTCCATTCCTGGCCTGTAAGAGTAAAAGAGTAAGGTAGTTCCACAGGGTCCTTTGAGGTCCCTAGTCTTTTTTTTAAAAGGATAATATTGGTGTCATGTATTCAAGCACCCCTCCCATAACGTCATAGAAACCCCATGAGCTGTAATACGAATTTTCTGAGCTGACCCAGGCTAGACGGAGCTCTTTCTACGGGCTGCAGCAGACACTGGATCGCTGCACCCACCCGTGGGAGTTCTTCACCTGCTACAACTATCATCAGCCTTGAAAGTGGGGTCTGGGTTTCCCACACTGCAGGCCCAGTGCTCACAGCCCCAGTGGCAACAAAAAGAGCAGTTTGCAGACCAGTGCTGCTTAGAAAGGTTGCATCATACATTAGTGTAATCCCAACGAAAAAGGGATCAAGAGGGAGTTAAGTTAAAACCAACACTTTCAAATTCCGAGGGCAAAAAAACCTTGAAAGAGCTTAAAAATCCAGTATTAGAAAACCATAATAGGGTGGGGCTCCTGTAGCATACATATATATCATGGATACAGCCAAAAACAATGCACACGTTCCCTTTCTCACGCCCACATTTCCACTTGAGTGTGTAATAGGATTGATACATATATACCCTCAAATTTATCTACATAATAAGTGTATGTACAAACCATATATACATACACACAGGCTTATGTACACATAATACATAGGTAAATATAATCGCTGCATTATAGATCACGTAAGTGAATAAAACACACACACACACACACACACACACACACACACACACACGCAAAACCAGCTAAGATCCTACCCAAAAAGGAAAAGACAGAAAATTGTGAAGAAAAATAAAGTTCAAACGCTAAAGAATTTAGATTTTAAAAACCTTATTTCAAATATTGTACTCTTTCATCCTACCTCCTAAAGATTCTGTTTTTTTTTTTTTTTTTTTTTTTTTGAGGTAGGCACACATTTATTTGGTGTCCAAACATTGAACCCGAAAACACTTTGCAGGGCCCAGTTAGCATCTCTTCACATGTACTTTATAATATGGCATTTCTAGCCAAGTTCATATATCCCACCATGAGAAAAAGATAGCATGCAGCCATCAAAAACGATGAGTTTGGGTCCTTTGTAGGGACATGGATGAACCTGGAAACCATCATTCTCAGCAAACTGACAGAAGAGCAGAAGATCAAACACCGCATGTTCTCACTCATAGGCGGGTGTTGAACAATGAGAACACATGGACACAGGGAGGGGAGCACTACACACTGGGGTCAGTTGGGGGGAAATAGGGGAGGGATGGTGGGGGGTGGGAAGCTGGGGAGAGATGGCAAGGGGAGAAATGCCAGATGTAGGTGATGGGGAGGAAGGCAGCAAATCACACTGCCACGTGTGTTCCTATGCAACGATTCTGTTTTTAAGGCCTAAGTTTTGCATAGTATAACTATAATGCCAAAAATCTGATAGTGATATTTTTAGGGAATTCTGCTTGGAGAAACTTGGGTGAGGGCGGGGACATAAAAGGCTGAGGAGCCTGCCACAGTTGCTGTTGAGAGGGCTGACTGTGTGCTGGGGAGTGTGCCAAGCACTTTACAAATGTGGTTTCTCATCTTCACAAGTCCGTGATTCTTCATTTCACAGATGTGAAAAAGTAAAACCCAAAGGTTAATTAACTGCTCAAGGACATCCAGCTTATCAGGTGACAGGAAAGACGGAATTCAAAGCACTCCTATTATGAGACCTTTCAGAGGGAGGGATGAAAGAGATTATGGTTGTAAGGAATCATTTTTTGAGAAAGGGCTATTGGTAGACAACTCTATGCCGAAAACATAAATAATGTTACAATATTAATAACTAAACTGGGCAACAGTCCCTTTAAGATCTCAAAACCAAAAAGACTAGAGTAGGAGGTTATAAAAACCCAAAGCCAATGCCAAAATCAAGTCAATCAACCGACCAAACAAAACCCTTTGAAACCAGCTAATTGGCCAAGTGTGGTGGCTCAAGCCTGTAATCCCAGCACTTTGGGAGGCTGAGGCAGGCAGATCACAAGGTCAGGAGTTTGAGACCACTCTGGCCAACATAGTGAAACCCAGTCTCTACTAAAAATACAAAAAATTAGCCAGGTGTGGTAGTGTGCACCTGTAATCCCAGCTACTTGGGAGGCTGAGGCAGGAGAATCTCATGAACCCAGTAGGCGGAGGTTGCAGTGAGTGACAACCATGCCATTGCACCCCAGCCCTGGTGACAGTGTGAAACTCTGTCTCAAAAAGGAAGGAAGGAAGGGAGGAAGGGAGGAAGGGAGGAAGGAAGGAAGGAAGGAAAGAAGGAAGGAAAGAAGGAAAGAAACTACTTAAAAAGTGATTTATGGTCATTTTTATATTATATTAACCATAAACATTTGGTAAAATATAGAAAATTGGTGTTTCCAATACTGGCAGCATACTAGAAAACTTTTTATAGTTATTTAGATTTTAAAGGATTGACTTAAACTGAATGGAAAATTGGCTTAAATACAAATTAAAACATCATCATTTATTTTTGTGATTCAATATTGTTTCTGAAAATTAAATTGGGCTTAACAAGAAATTACTATCAAGTACATTTTATTGTATTAAATGTTTAAAAACCTTTGGGGAAATTTTCAGAAATACATTTTCATTAAGTATTTGCTTTTTCCCTCCGTTAGTGTTTGTTCTATGTTTGTAATTATGTGAAGTCTTACTTGTGGTTTTTAAAAAAATGAATTTACTTGTTTCCATGACAGTGAAGAGCCATCTGATAGGGAAGAAAAAAAAATGGGACTGTAATGTCTATTATTAGCAAACACCTCCTTAGTAGTTTAGACACAGACATTTTGGTAGAAAGAAATGGAATCATCCTTTGCATTTAATGTCATTCTTCATGTTTGATGCAACCAAGGCCTATCTCACCACATGCTCTATATCTACCTTTTTGGGGGCTCATCTCTAGCCACTGTACAATTTTTGTCTTCTGTGGTAAGACATGGCTGCTCCTGGCATTTCCAACACTCCGAGCCCAGAGCCATGCTGTTGCCCTCACCCTCCATCCCTCCACCTAGCAGTCATTTCTTGGAGTCTGCTCTCCAAGCCTTCCCTCCCTCCTTTCCTTCCTTCCTTCCCTCACTCAGCTATTCTCCTGAGATTTTGCTTTCCTTACCCCAAGCCTCCTACTCTTTATACTTCATCTCTCCTTAACTTTCCTTCTTCCCCTCTCCAGCAGGCTGAGTGGAGGCCTGTGGACACCCTAGCAGGTTGCGAACACTATCCTTTCAAACCCAGATGCTAGAGGCCTTGTGTTTGTTGCAGGTTTCCCTGAGACTGGGGAAATGATGGCATTTCCTCTGTTGTCTCAGGCAATTCAGTGCTGGTCCAAAACCCAAACACCCTCCTGCTATTACAACAAAAATGCCACAGTGGCCGGGTCCAGTGGCTCACACCGGTAATCCTGGGCACTTTGGGACGGGCCAAGGTGGGTGGATCACTTGAAGTCAGGAGTTCAAGACCAGCCTGGCCAACATGGTAAAACCCCATGTCTGCTACAAATACAAAAATTAGCTGGGCGTGATGGTATATGCCCGTGGTCCCAGCTACCTGGGAGGCTGAGGTGGGAGGATCACCTGAGCCTGGGAGGTCAAGGCTGCAATGAGCTGAGATTGCACCACTGGACTCAAGCCTAAGTGATGAAGTGAGACTTTATCTCAAAAACTGCTGCAGTTAACTGGGCTCACCGTGCTCCCTGGCAGCTGTGAACAACCAGCTGCTGTTGCTTAAGCCTGCCCTGGAATCTACCCCTAGCCCACCCCAAGTGGCTTCCAAATATTCCCATCATTCTCAAACAGTATTCTCCCTGCAGATTTTTCGTCAATTCAATTTTCCTTAGCTCATTGTATTTCCAGAGATGGCCTGGTTGCTTTTATGGATCATGTCCCAGGCAGCTGCCAGGACTTGCCTCCCCTTTAACCACCCACCACTGTTTGATCTTCTTCATCACAGCAAATCCCTGTGACTGCTGAGACTGCAGGCTCCGCCTCCACAGAGACCATGCCCTGTCCCTCACCCTCCACCAGAAGCCAGGCGTTCTTCTCCCTAAGTCCCAGCTTCCTTCTACTCCACTGACATCTCCCACCCTTTACCGACTCTGACACTCTCTCACACTCTCTGTGACCATGTGAGCTAATATACCTTTCAACAGGCTTATGGTACCTTCTCAGAACAGGCTGGGTAACTTCCTAGTCTGCAGATAATAGGTAGTTTTCAGCACAGCAAACTAGTGCTTTCCCCTTTTTCCACCACTGGAGAGCTATTTAAAAAGAACTATTTATTATCTAAGTCATAGGCAACTTTCAAACACTGTTCATAAAGTAATAAGATTGGAGTATGTATTAATATTAGTATATGAACTCTATCAATGTTATTGAAATATGTATGTAAGATAAAATATAAAAATAATTTATACATGGATTACAATTAAGTAAAACTTACAAAAAATGTTATATAGGTATATCCTGAAAAAAGTATGAATTTGGAATTATGTAAATAGAACAATTAAATTGTTAAAATGGTTTTAAAGAAATGAATCTTAATACGTGTGTGTGTGTGTGTGTGTGTGTGTGTGTGTGTATATATACTTAAATGAGTCTTATCTACTTTTTCAACCTGAAAGCCTATTTTTTTCAATGCTGCTATTACATTGTCAGCTTATAATATTTTTGGAATTCCTCTTCTAAAATGGCCTTCAGAGCTGATTTGGTAGACATTGAAGAAAATCATGTCTATTTTATTTATATCTTAAAATTTATTTTTATGATAATCATATCCCCCCAAATAATTCTAGCTAACTTGATCACCCACCTTATATACTAACCAAAATGTCAAATAGGTTTTTGTTTCCAAAACTTTTATCTGCCCTTGAAAGATAAAAGTTTGCCATTATTGAAAAATGAACATGTCATACACATTGATACCAACTTCAAAATATGTTAAATAATGGCAGGATCATAAGTCTAAGTAAATGGTTTTCTAAAATAGAAACCTTAAATGTAACATCACTCATCTGATGAATAAGTTTTGGTATGTTTGTCTGCAAATTAGCTGCACTCTTTTCTGATATATTCTCTGAACATCTTTTTGAGATAAAACACAGAAACCAAAAGTAAAATGGCTATCAGGGGCTGGAGGGAGGAGGAAATGGGGAGCTATTGTTGAATAAGTATAGAGGTAGAGGGCCGGGCACTGTGGCTCACACCTGTAATCCCAGCTCTTAGGGACGCAGAGGTGGGAGGATAGCTTGAGCAGAGGAGTTCAAGACCTGGCTGAGCAATATAGTGAGATCCCATTCTCCACAAAAAGGAAAAAAAACAAAAAAGACAAAATAAGTATAGAGGTAGAGTTTGAATTTTTCAAAGTAAAAAAGTTCTGGTAGTCAGTTACCTAACAATGTCAATATACTTCATCCTACAAGTTACTACATAGTGAAAAAGTAGATAATACATGATCAAACTGTAGATGATTATGAAAAACTACAATATAATTTATTACTATTTTGTTTTACCATGCGGACATTTAAAAATTACATTCATAAAATAACATGATGCCCTTCACATTCAAAGATGAAATTCTCCATCTCCCTTCACTACCTAGTTCCATTCCCCAGAAATAATCACTGTTGCTGTTTTCTATGCATTCTTGCAGAGGTATTCAGTGTATATGCATCTTAAGTGGGAGCTTATGCCCTTTAACTTGTTTTTAACATAAATGACAACGTGCCACACACAGAGCACTACATATGCCTTTTGTTACATAACTGTATGTGCTGCAATTCATTTCATTTGAGCCTGTGACAAATATTTTGAGTTGTTTTTCTGCAATAGGACAGACTGGCCTCATAGACTGCATTCTATTTACAGATGCTTCTTATGAGCCACATCATACATGGTTGGCTACACTGAGGCCTAAGAAATAAAATTTCTTGCTTTTTAAAATTAGATTGCCCCTTCAGTGGCCAAGTGACTATAAATGACCTAGCTGATTAAAAAAAAAATTACCTTAAAAGTAGCAAAGGCATCTGAAGCAATATCAAATGTTGACAACTCCACATACTTAAAGAAATCTCTGAATTGATTAGAAAAGAGGATGATTTTGGCAAGTGGTTCATGTCGAATACATTCTCTCAGCATAATCCCACAACGTAATGCAATCTGTGGGGCTTCGTACCTAAAGCGTAAACAAGAGAGAAATAGAGAACTCTGTTATCCTATTAAAATAATATTAATGGCATCAAAAGAACCATTTCAATACTGCTGTTAATGGAAATACACATACCATTTGTCACAGTTCATTCAAACACCACTCATTCAATACCCACTGAAGAGCTACTATGGGCCTGGCACTATTCCAGATGCTGGGGAGACAATAGTAAACATGAGGTCACCGCTGTCATCATGTTCATATCTGAGTGTATCTGGTGGGGGGACGAGGCAGAACGTAAACAATGAAAAGATAATTTCATATACTGAGAAGTGCTGTGAAAACTGATGACAATAAAATACGCCACATTATAAAGGTGACTACTTAATTTTGTGGGTGTGTGCGTGTGAGTGACTACTTAAGTTACTTTACTTTAGACTAATGGAAAGGACAAAATGTTCCAGGCAAAGGAAAGTAACTGTGCAAAGTCTCCATGGCAAGAACAGGCTTGGGGAAATGGAGGAGAAATAAGGCCTGTGTGATTCGATTGTAGGGAACAACTATGAGTGGTGTAAAATTGGAGAGAAGGCAGGGGCCAGATCAGATACAGTTTTGTCAGCCAAGGTAAGCGGGGGGGTTTTATTTTAAGTGTAATGGGGAAGCCTTTGGAGAGTCTAAAGCAAGAATTGACAAGGCTAGCTTATGCTTTAAAAAGATCACTCTGGCTTCTTGTTGAGAATGTATGTAAAACATCAGAAGGCAAGATAGGAACAGGAGCAGAAGCCCAGGAGAGGGAACTGGAGCTTGGCCTGGGGTGGCAAGAGCAGAACAGAGGACTGTGAGCAGGTGGTAGATACTGCTCGGAGGAAGAGTCACCAGGACTTGCTGATAATGTAGCTTGAGTGAGGGAATAAATTTGGAAACTGAGAATTCAAGAATGATTCCTATGTTTTTGGCTCAAATCACTGGGTGGATGGTGGTGCTACTTATTAAGAGGACTAAACTAGCAGAGGAATAAGTCAGGGAAGAAACTAAGAGTTTGTGGTTGACCACGTTAGTTTTGAGATGGCTGATACCTAAGTAGAAATGTCTCCTTGGCGGTAGTATACACCCATCTGGAGTTTAGGAAAAAGATAGGGGAGAACTATATAAATATACAATTTTCATGCAATAGGTGACTAATACACAGCTGTGGATTAAACCACTTAAATTCTAAGTGAAATCATGGCTCACAGCAAAAACTACACTGGACAAATAAAACATCTATTGTGGGAAACAATTCAGGACTGGCATACTAGATCAGTTCCATTTCTAATATAAACACAATCTCTCAGAGTCAAATTCAATATCTAAATAAATCTAAGTCTCAGATATATTCTAGACTGGGTGTGGTGGCTCACACCTGTAATACCAGCACTTTGGGAGGCTCAGGCGGGTGGATCACGAGGTCAAGAGATTGAGACCATCCTGGCCAACATGGTGAAACCCTGTTTTTATTAAAATTCCAAAAATTAGCCGGGTGTGGTGGTGTGTGCCTGTAGTCCCAGCTACTCAGGAGGCTGAGGCAGGAGAATCGCTTGAACATGGGAGGTGGAGGATGCGGTAAGCCAAGATCATGCCACTGCATTCCAGCCTGGCAACAGAGCAAGACTCTGTCTCAAAAAAAAAAAAAGATACATTCCAGCGTGTGATAAGATTTTAACACAATGAATAATGCTTAGCCCAAGTATAATAACCCCTGTATTGAAATAATATAGTTGACAATTGTGTGCTAAATATGGGAAGAATAGAACAAAGAAAGATATAGTTGTGAAACACTAGGAAGTGGGCAGAATATAGGGCAAAAAAACCCAAAAAAATCTGGAGGGGCATGACTGCTCACTTCTGTAATACCAGCACTTTGGGAGGCTAAGGTGGATGGACTGCTTGAGCCCAGGAGTTTGAGACTAGCCTGGGCAACATAGTGAGACCCTGACTTTACAAAAAATAAAAAAATTATCTGGGCATGGTGGCACACGCCTGTACTCCCAGCTACTCAGGAGGCTGAGGTGGGAGGATTGCTTAAGCCTGGGAGGTTAAGCAAGGCCCTGTCTCCAAAAATAAAAAATAAAAATAAAATAAAATATGATCAAATTTTTAAAGAAATATCATTGACCATTTCAACTAAATACTAGTTTTTATGATACTTGTATGATATTATAAAACTTTAAGGTATTTTATTACTCACCAATTACTAGCAACAACATTTTGTTGAACAATAAATAATGTACTATTCTTTATAAGATTATAGAATTTTCATGAAAGACAGATTCAAGAATAAAGATTCAATTCAGGAAATAGACTACTCTGCAATACCAAATTTACAAATATTAGTAGAGGAAACAGCAAACAAAGATACCAGGGTAGTATTTATTCATTTCTGTCCTGTTTCTGCTGAATGATATTCACAAATATTATTTGAGTATTCCTTGAATAACTTAGAGTAACATTAAATGCTAATATATTCAGATAGTTATGATTTTTTTGTAGAATATAAGGAATAACAATTTATAGTGCTAGAAATTTCTCTTATTAGAAACTTGAAAATCAGCCTCCTGGCTTGCAAGGAACAAATCAGGTGGGGTCTTATTAAAGATGTTGTAAAGAAGGGCACATGTTCTGAAATGTGAAGGAGAAAAGCACTGTTATTTATTGATGTAGTACTCAAGAGAGTATAAAATAAAGGCTGTTGGCCTACAGAAAGAATCTAAGGGAAGGACAATTAAAATCCAGACTTATTGGTTAGTATGATATGTGTGGATTTTTATAATTTGGCCCTAACCTTAACTTTTCAGTTTCATCTCCAATCACATTGGCCATTTCCCCGGAGCACCTAATTCCCTCAATTGGAATGCCTTTCTCCTTACATTCCTACCACTGAGATGTTTCTTATCTTCCAAGGCTTAGTTCAAATGCCACCTCCTCCTTGAAGACTTTCCTAATCACTACAATTCAGGATTATTCTCTCTCCCCTTCACATTCACACAACAGCTTGTCTGTAATTTCACCTTAACACTTTTTAAATTATGTATTATGTTATACTGCAGTAAATGGCTACAAGTCTATTTTCTTGACTTCATTACAATCAATTTAATTATTGGGGATGTTTTTCTTCTCCTCTATCCCCATCTCCATTTAGTGTCTTTGTCTTATTTACTGCTACTTTCTCCTGTCCCTACCCCTGTCTCCAAAGAGTGCCTAGCATAATGTTTTTCACAAAGCATGCATATAAAGCATGTAATAAGCCTCAAACTGAAGAAATGTCATAATACTAGAGTACTCTAATGAGAGTCAAACTCTGACTTATACAAAATATGCATCATCTCTGGCCAACATTTTCTCATTTCTTAATTCAATTTCCAAACTAAGACCATCTTATAAAAAGTTTCCACTCCAACTTTTGGGTATAATTAGTTCTCTTTTTCCTTTCATTTTGTGAGGCTTATTGAAACCATCTGTGATGCACTGAAAGTTTATTCTTAAGAAATAAAAGAACGTTTCTAAAAACAAAGACTCCTCTGGGTCAGTACCCTTGTCATTGCATCCCAGCAGTTTGACATCTATCGTTCTGAGATTACAACTTCTATAACTTAGAAATGTATAGGCATATACAGAGATAGATAGAGAATCCTAATTATCCTCAGTACTCTTTAAGGGATTTATAATTCACATAGATCATTTCCACCTGACTACCTTCTAGGATATTGACTTTTGATAGGTTATTGCTTACTATATAAAGAAGTGTTCCATAAGTTAAGCTTATGTTAAGTTTCAAACCCCACTACCATTAATATCCTTAGGTCTGGTAAAGAATCAATATTTGTCTCACCTAATCTATTCTACTCATAGATAAGCTTCCTGATGGCAAAGATCATGCCTAATTACTGTTTCCCACAATGGCTAACCCATGGCAGGTCCCCAATAAAGGTGAATCTGATGAGTGTTGAATCACTATTTTATAGAATTGAATCACATCTTCCGTCTTGATTTGTAGTTTGGATCATATGGTCTGGACTGCAATGAACTGTGTCAGTATGGAGAAGGCACACCACTATATAGGCATGCCCACTGAATAATGAGAGTATAATGAAAGTTCTCTCTCAAATTTAATGAAAGCCAAAATGTAAGAGCAATTGTCTCAGCTAACAGTAGCTACAGTAATAATTACACAGACAATGGTTAGAAGAATGATCTTGTGCAAGAATATTTCAATTTAAGAACAAAGATTACTTATGTAAGGGGGAAAATGACTTTTGTGATTATTGCTGGAAGTAAACAATGCCAAGCAATATTTGGAAAACTTTTGTAAAATGCCATTCAACAAACACTTGGTCACCTCAGTATAGTCAAGAAGGTATGTTTCTAATCTAGAAACATTTGCTGACTAAAAATAACAACTTAGGCCAGGCATAGTGGCTCACAATCCCAGCACTTTGGGAGGCTGAGGCAGGAGGATCACTTGAGCCTAGGAATTTGAGACCAGCCTGGACAACATAGTTGGGCCTTGTCTCTACAAAAAATTTTTTTTTAATTAGCTGAGTGTAGTATCATGCACTTGTACTCCCAGCTACTTGGAAGGCTGAATCAAGAGGATCACTTAAGCCTAGGAGGTTTAGACTGTAGTGAGCTGTGATCACAGCACTACATTCTAGTATGGGCAACAGAGCAGGATTCTGTCTCAATAAATAAATAAAATAATGAGTTAATTCTGTCCACCAAAAAAGCCTAGAAGCAACAACAATCCAATGTCAAGGAGCACCCCTAGCATCCAGATTGTAGTCTCTAAGAACCATTCCTCTCTAAAAAGAACCAACATCCTTGGTAGAAATGTCAGGTCTTCATTAGCAAATGTACCAGTTGGGTGGCATATCTTGTTACACCAGAAAGCAAGGAAGCTCTCACAAACTATTTTAGTGATGTTAAGAGATATCACCCAGAAGGGGCCACAGATGGCCAATCAAGCATTTTTTAAAAATGTGTAGAACTAAATAAGACATATAGAAAACATTAAATCCATTAGTTTCTCAGATACTATAAGAGTGTGTGTGTGTGTGTGTCTGTATACAAATGTAAACATATGTATTTATACACACACGTATGTAAAGGGAGGGGGAGGGAGGGAAATAAATCATTAGATACCATTGAAAGTTCCTAGGATATTTTATTCTTCTCTAAAATGATAATTAAAAGAATTAAGCATTTATTCTGCCTCTGTGGTATGATTTGTACTTCAGAGTATTCTAACACCTGAAGCTGTGGTGAGTGAATGACAGTATTCTCTATAAAACTACTCTAGCCAATAAAAAATACAAAAGGAATGACAGAATTCAAAATCGCCTTTTTGTCATCTCTAGTGAAATAACTGAATCAGACAATGTTCATCAATGGATGGTAAAACAATTAAGTTTAAGGACGATGGGAAACTTTATAGTGAATCGGACTGTCACCATCTGAACCCATTGCTCAGTCTTAGCATTACTAAAAGTACATCTCCTGATGTGATAAAATATGAACTACATAGTACCATCTATAAAATAATTGCCAAAATGAAACTGCTTAAACTTTTTTGCAATAAACTTTAAAAAACAGGGTAATTGGGAGAAATTGATGATTTTAACATCAGCTTTCTGGAACATAGTCCACTGGCCACAGTTCTTTATGGATTACTGAGAGCAGTTCAGTGACCTCATTCTCAAGTTCTCTCAGTACCCTGGAATGTCATTTGCCTGAGCCAGAAGACAAATTCATTTAGAGTGAGTAAGTCCTTATTTATAATCTTTTCAGAACATTTGGGCTCCAAATCCTTTCTACCATGTTTAACACCACATATCCAGATAATTCTCTTTGATAGACAAGTATCAATTGCTTTTTGTCTTATATTCTTTATGGTTAGACTTAGGTTCTTTATAGAATGTTACTATCATACTCTCGTATAATATTATTGTTTAATGTATAAATGTACCAGTCACGTTATGTCCTAGGTTTTCAAGTGACTTCACAAGAGATAATTCAGTACAAATTCTGACTTTTAAGAAGAGAGAAATCTCTAACATTCTAATGATAAATTAGAAAATGGTAACAGGGGGCTGGGCGTGGTGGCTCAAGTCTGTAATTCCAGCACTTTGGGCAGATCACGAGGTCAGGAGATCGAGGCTATCCTTGCTAACACAATGAAACCCTTTGTCTACTAAAAATACAAAAAATTAGATGGGTGTGGCAGCACGTGGCTGTAGTCCTAGCTACTTGGGAGGTTGAGGTAGGAGAATCGCTTGAACCCAGGAGGTGGAGGTTGCAGTGAGCTGAGATTGCGCCACTGTACTCCAGCCTGCATAACAGAGCAAG